AGTCGGAGTGACTATAAGGCATCTGAAAGTGAGTTTTGATTTTGATTAGATCTGTGCTGTTCGAGCCGCAAACTGATTCAGAAGCTTCAGTCTGGTTTGGTGAACTGATTCATTCAGTTCGCTAAAATGAATCGTTTCAGAAGAATAATCGGTTCGCAAACCTGTTTGCCCGAGGCTCTGGATTACAGGTAATTATGCTGTAAATGATGTTCAGTTTCTTGCACAGACTGATTGTTTCACTTCATAAGACCTCTATATATCGTCAGGAGCCACGGGTATTTATATTTTGTGTTGCCTGATATAATTTTTTTGACTCTCAAAGTAACTGTAGCCATTGCATTTTATGAATCACCAAGGACCACAGTTTCAGCTAAAAATCTTGTTTACTGATCTACTAAAGAACAAAAAAAAAGTAATCTACATCTCGGATGGCCTGAGGGTGAGTACATTAACAGCAAATTTTCAATTTTGGATGAACTGTTCCTTTAACATTTCGAAGGATTTCTTTTTTTCTTTTTCTTGATTGAGCTCTTGCAGTCCGTGTCTTTGTGTCCATTGTTTCTTCTTGATTTTGTTAAAGCGAAAGTTTCTTAACTGATTTTTGCATTGAGTTTTGTGCAACTGTTCAGCTTCTGAAGGACAAATGTTGATGCTGTATCTGTCCATATTTTGCATGAAATTAAAAACCAACCCTGTTTTGGTAAGTACGGGTCATCGTTCAGTTTTCTTTTGGTTTTTTGCCGTGTCCTGTGGTCCATTCCCACTTGGGCCCATATTGACGTATGGGCAATATTTTTCCGTGAGTTGTCAGATTTCTCTCCAAAATGTTTGTTTTCTACTCAATCGATGCATTCGAAACCGAAATGTTGACAACTCCACCCAAAAATATATCTGAGGACTTCATTGACTTCTGATTTAACTGTGTGCCATTTTAAATCCATGTAAAAGTGACCTGCGCCAATGAGCCTTTTACAGCGTGGATGAAGTCAGTGCTGTACTGGGTCAGATCTGGTCTATCCCATCATGCCTCTGTCCCCTGTTTCTGTCCCCTTGTTGGCTGTGTGATTGCTTCAGGGCAACGACAGTCGGTCACGGGAGGGTGGGGATCGAGGAACCCGCCCAAAACTGCAGCCGGGGCTTTGAGTCAAAATTCAGACGAATCCATTGCCTGCAGCAACCCTCAGCAATTCAAGTGCATGTCGAGACTTACATCAACACTTGGCGTTCATGTAGAGGTCAAATCTACCCGATTTTCCTATGCACCCCTGCTTTAAGGGGCCGTTAGCATCCCGCTTGGTCTTTACCACCATTAGGTTCAGGGTCGGATGGTAAAGACGAGTCCAGTATGGTCCGCTGTCCATGCCTGCCGATCTAAATATGGCTAATCGTGGCTTTTTGACTTCTGACCGGCTCCCATTTCCCCCTCATTGACTCTTTCTTGCTCTCTTTCTCTGTCCTGAACTCTTTGGATCGTGTTTTTTGAGCTGGCTTTGACACATGCCGTCTGGTCTTGTCTGTTTGTAGCAGTACTCGCAGACAGTAGGAATATGTCAGGGCGCCTTTCAGTATCTTAACTAAACAATTGCATAGCAAATGCATGAGTGAACTGTAAATTTCTCCTGCATGTCAGAGGTGAGTTATTTAAGGATTGAGCCTCACCTCTGCAGCTTTCACTCAGCAGCTCTTTAGACCAAAAACTCGATCTGATTTTCTGCATGGCGGCAGGTATGACGTAAAGAGATGTGCTTACTGTGTAAAAAATTAGTGTAAACGGCTGCTTGTCTTTGCTAAATGTCTAATTTTGTGTGTTTTTTTATGTTTTTCCCCGCATCTGGACACTCTAGGCTTTGGTAAGTCTCTTGCATTTTAATGAATCCAGTGTTTGTCTACTTGGATACCTTCATCTAGTCAGTTGAAGCAGCACAGATGTGTCCTTATCTGCCTATGGTATCCCACAATCCCCTGTGTGGTTCGGTGTTTGGTGGAAAGACTAAAATGACATTATTTTAGCTGCTAAATATGCTTAAAGTTCACTTTAATCATATATCTGTTTTTTTATCTGCTTTAATCACATATATCTGTTTTTATACTATATTTTTATGCATTCATTCATATTTGTTTTTGAGTTTGCAAGGAACATTTTTCAGCATGCAAAAATAATAGAGCTTTCTTTAATGATTTAAAAATGAAGACCTTTTCCATTTCATGTATTTTTGTTTATATTTATTTTGTGTATTTATTTATTTATGTACTTATGTATTCATATTTGTTTTGGAGTTTGCAAGGGACATTTTTCGACATGCAAAAATAATAGAGCTTTCTTTATTTGACGTAAAAATGAAGACGGTTTTATAATTTGAGCATGCATAACAGAAAATGTCAGCTCTGTTCCAAATCCTAGTGAGCCGTCTACCTACTAGACAGCATTTTTAAGCATTTTGTGCACACTTGTGGTGTTAAGGCTATTCTTAAATGCATGCATTTTGATCACATTTTAAGGCGGGATTGCATGTATCCTTAATAGAGAATACAGTCCTATAAATGCATAGCAGCAAGCTCAGAAAAACACGTTCTTTCCTGTTAAAATGTGCTGTTTTTCATTATATTTGTTTTATGTAGACAGCAGCACTAGTTTTAGGATAGAGCTATCATTATCATTATCAAGTCATCGTCAAGTTCATTATCAAGTCTGTCTCCTGAAATATTTAAAATCGCAGTAAACCTAATAAAATGAAAGCATATAACACGGTGCAGAATTTTCTTCTTTTCTGCAACATTTCCTTCTCTTGAACCTAAAATGAAGAGCTTTCAGAGAGTTGCGCTCTGTAGGGTAACAAGTGAATATCTGCTTGAAGGTGAAAGTGGTTTCCCAGACTGAGAAATCAAGTTTTATCTTGGTGTCTCACGATAACATTCAGCCTAACACAACTGATTTCTACCCTGTAGCGTTTGATGCATTCCCGAGAGTTGCCTTTCTCACTGTTTCCTTTCTTCATTTCAGACATTGGCTGCTCGAAAGGCAGGCATTGCGTTTGGGCTGGTGAACAGAACGACTCTGAACAACGAGGAGCTGGTGAGTTTTACACACATACGCACAGCGCTTTCACCATATAGACTCGTGCATAAATCACTCTGAAAGCAGCCAGTCAGAGTCTAATGAGGAGCGATCATGAGGCACTAATGTAAAGCTCATGCATAAAGTCACAACTGATACAGAAACACACATCAGAGCCAGAGGCAAAAACAAATAGACATTTATAATCTCTAATTTCAGTCGTTGTCACAAAATAAACCCTGATGCACAGCAGCTACTCACTAAGTATATATTAATTTCATTAATACTGACTTAATACACTGCTACTTACAAACTACAGTAACTAAATAAATAAATGGACATGAAATATAGATGTGAGTGAATTTATTTATTTTTTAAAAGTCTCTTCTGCCAGCCAAAACCACATTTATTTGATCAGAAATACAGTAAAAATGTGAAATATTATTACAATTTAAAATAACTGTTTTCTGTGTGAATATCTGTTAAACTGTAATGTATTTCTGTGATGCGCAGCTATATTTTCAGCATCATTACTCCAGTCTTCAGTGTCACATGATCTTCAGAAATCGATTTGCTGCTCAAGAAACATTTCTGATTATTATCAACGTTGAAAACAGTCATGCTGTCCAATATTTTTGTGGAAACTGTGATTTTATATACTTATTTTAGGCTTGTTTAATAAATAGAAAGTTTAAAACGAACAGCATTTATCAGTGTTAAAGAGTATGTCGCTGTTGTATCCGCATTAAGATGTTTTCTGATTATTTGGGTGTCGATCGATAATTCTTGTTTGAATTGTATTCTTTACTTTAATTCGACGGAGGGGCCAAAGCCCTGAGAGAGGAAAGAACGTCTCAAGCAATTTTTTCCAGACCTTCTTCCCTCCCATTAATTGATCCGCTGAATAAACGGCCCAGAATGACACAGTGTGATGTGATGTCCAGTGCAGGAATATACCTGAGCTGAAGACTAACACAGCCTGGGAAGTTTCTGCTTATGTGTTTGGGGAGTTTTAATTATAACATGATGTGCATTCAGGCACAGAATGGACATGCTGAGTAATTTCCCATTTCTTTCTCTCTGTTTTTATCTACCAAAAAAAACAGGATGCCTTTTGTGACAACAAAATTACCTGGATGTGCATTAGGCGTGTAATGTATGATGCATCTGCTTATTTTATAACAGAGCGCAATAGTCAGGCTCCGGATGTAAAAATCCCATTCATTTTCTTTGAATTGATTTTTAACAATAACATATAGACCAGTAAAGACAGACATAATGTGAGCTAGGAGGTTATTAATCAATGGTATATGCTTCTGCATCAGCTTGCATTGCTTCAAATTATTATTATAATCATGTTTAACAGCAGAAAGCCTGGTGACAAACTACATTACCCATGATTCTTCAAAGAAATCTCCAAAGAAATCCGTGTTGGGTATTGGGAAATGTATTTAGTGTATGTAAGTGGAAGTTTTGTTTTAGTGTGTGTGTGTGTTATTTTTTAAAGCGGATCTGCTCTCTTGACTGCTCAAGACAAATTTCTCTTATGGAGACAATAAAGAACTGATAAAGACAAAGATAAAGATTAATCAGGCAGTCAAAACAAGCTAGTCATGCCAAAATATAAATATATATATACACATTTTGTCTTTAAAACGATAGTTTTATATTTTCCCATGGCTTTTCAGTCTTTCAGTCATGTCATTTGCAATGCTTCATGTGAGTGTAGTTCTTTCCCTCATTAAAGCCATTAAGTAAATGTTTGTTTTTTTGTCCTATTTTTATTTTATTTATTTATTTTGTTATTATTATCTGCTTAAAATCAGCGTTTGTAATGTTGTGATTCACCTTGTAACTGTTTTTTTTTTCTTTATGGGAAAAATGAATGGGAAAAATACTTTTAGAAACAAGGGCGCTGAGTAAAAGTTTACTCTATAACTATTGTCCTGCTGCAGAGCATGATGGGAAATGTAGTTTAGTCACACAAGCCTGTTACCTCCTTTTATGCAAATGGTCTGCATTTATTGGTCTTTGCATATGAGCAACAGGATATATCATACTGTATGGCTTGTTTTTTACAAACAATAAATTGTAAACACTAAGTCATAATAAACTCAAATTTTAAACTATTATAGACTTTCAATATATTGCTAACCATGCAGCTTTGCAAGTCAAAGATCAATAGTGTTTAGATTGGCTGAAGTCATAATATGTTTCACTATATAAACATCTACACATGCATTTGCATTTATATGAATGGATGTGAACACAGATTACCACATAGTGGTTTACTAGTTATTCTGCTGCTTTGCAGTAATAATATTATCCATCCTAACAAGCTGTTTTTGTGGATTGGTTTTAAAAAATAGTATTCTGGAGCAAGTTATGAATGCTGAAATGTACAAACTCTTATTTCAAATCTGATTTCTCACTATAAGAAGCCTTTAAAAATTAAAAATAATATTGCTTAATATTTTGATAGCTTGTGTAGAGATGCAAAGCTGAATTTCCAGCATCATTCCTCCAGTCTTCAGTGTCACATGATCTTCAGAAATCATTCTAATATGCTGATTTGCAGCTCAGGAAACATTTCTGATTATTAGTATCAATGTTGAAAACAGTTATTCTGATTAATATTTTTGCAGCATTTCTTTGAAATAGAAATCTAACATTATAAATGACCTCACTCTCACGTTTGATCAGTTTAATGCATCCTTGCTAATATAAGTATTACTTTCTTTCAAAGAAAACCCCCAGACTTTTGAACAGCAGTGCTCATGATCCGTACAGATGCAGTCAGCAGGTCTTCAGACGCAATAATCGCGTGGCATCACGGCATTTCCAGCACCTGCCGTGGCCTCCAGCGCAGAAACACATCCCAACCAAAGACATCACCGCAGTGGGTCTGGAAGCCGAGAGCTGCAGGCGTGGAGGACGCTTCCAAACATTTCATTGGCTGGTGTTTCTCAGAGGACGAGCTGCTGTTTTCCAACAGTTAAAGGCTTAGTTCCTCCAAAAAATTAAAATCTTTATTTATTCACCTTCAAGTCGTTCCAAACTCACATGCTGGTTTTTTCCCTGTTGAACACAAAAGAAGGGTTTGGAACGTCATGTGTGTGAGTGTTGTTTTTGGGCCGAACGATCTGTTTAAAGGCACAATATGTACGATTTTTTAATTAAAATATCCAAAAACCACTAGACCGTGTCCATAGTGTCATTGTGTCGCCTGCCAATGACGTCATAACCCCTCGATTTCCGGTTTTGTTTTGTAGAAAACATGGAAACACCAAAGATGCTTTAATATGTTGTGCGTTTTATTAGACAGGTGACGAGCGCACAGAGTAGCATTATAACAGAACTTTCAAATGTATCTAGTATGATAAAACAGCGCTGCTTTACCCCACATACTCACGACCGGAAGCGCTCGACTGTGGCATAATAAAAGCTCTGCTGCTTTCCAGCCGTGTGTCATGCTCGTTCAGTGCCTCGTTTCGCTTCGACGGCTTTCAGCCTCACCCTGCTTCATTCTACTACGTTAATAAATCATTAGCTCATCCATGAACATGATTTCTGCCCGAGTCCCGTCGGATTGCATCGGCTGTGGGGATGAAGACCACAACTCCCATGATTCCACACTCAGTCACAGCCTCATCAAACTACACCTTTGCCGCTTTGTTTATTTTGAATACGCGCCCTCCATCTTTAAGATGCTGTGAGGCGTGTGGGTCACCGGCTATGTGTTTTGACAGATGGTTTAATTCCTCCATCCCTCATTTCTGCTGGAATTTGTGACACTCCTGACTGCTTTGTTCAGTGTGAGCGATTACTCCATTGATACTCCCTCTCTCTCTGGCTGATAGCCCAGTGTTTAATTTGGAGGATAACTCGCTAGTTTAAATTGGAAAGTCCTCTTCCGTTTTTGCCAGCTGTTAATTCCTCCTTATTTGCATAACGTTACGGGTCGAGCATGTAACGGCCAGCAGCAATCAGATCTCATAAATGCAATATATGTATATATGAAGTTGGTATGACAAACATAATTACATTTTTTTGATCATGATATGTGTTTGTGTAGGGATGATTTTTGTGGTAATACATCACATATCTGAGATAAAGGAATAGTTTGCAGAAATGTAGCATTGCATCAGTGTCTCAGCAATGGATGCTCTGCAGTGAATGGGTGCCGTCAGAATGAGAGTCCAAACAGCTGATAAAAACATCACAATAATCCACAAGTAATCCACTCCTTCAAAAAGGCCGTCTTGTCTGAATCAGAAGAGAAATGTGAACAGATCAAGCACCGTTTACAAGCCAAAACAGCTCTAACAAATATATATTTTAGAACCGTTTTGGCTTTATTTGTGCAGATTTCTCTCCTGTTTTAGACAAGACAAACTTTTGGAAGTTAAAACGTCTCGATGGATTTTTTTCTTACAAACGCAGCTTTTGGCTTCTCAAGACATTAACTGATGGACTGGAGTGCTGTGGATTACTTGTGGATTATTGTAATTTTTTTATCAGCTGTTTGGACTCTCATTCTGACGGCACCCATTCACTGCAGAGCATCCATTGCTGAGACACTGATGCAATGCTACATTTCTCCAAAACTGATGAAGAAACATTCAACACAACTCATGCATTAAACCTTGACTTCATAAGTGGATCTCAGGGAAAAGTTAATTGACCAAATGTATGATGTGACCCATTTAAGTGTTTAATATAACTAAGACAACCACCATTAATCATTCGGTACAGTGTCATTTGTGCATTATCAGTTATTTTTTTCACTTCGTGTTTGATGCTGTTGCATCAATGCATCAATGTGTCAAAATTTCCCCTCAGAGAGTTCAATGAGGGAAGTTTCTCAGTTTGTCTATTTTTAGGTTTACTTTGCTAATTAGCCTGCATTTCCACTCTGCAGTACTTTTAGTTTGCTTTATTTCATTAATAGCCGTTTGGACGCTGAAATCTCGGCAGCTCTTAACGTAATGACTCTGTGGGCGGAGAGCAGAACACACGTCTCAGCAAAAGTGCATCATGGGAAAGGAAAGTGCCGTACATCACCAGCCCACCTCTACTTCACTCTCGCTCGCTCTGTCTTTTCCAGCTGTAAAAGGACAGATTTATGTGCACATTAATTCTGCTCTTTCATAAGGATACAGAAGATGCCATCAGATTCTCTCCACCACTTTTGCCTGTGAAAGCAAACTATTCACAACAAATACGAATGTCCACTGAGCGAATCCCACGAAACCTGTCAAGAACATGACTTCAGATTCAAAAGGAAGTAGGACGGAATAATAAGCTTATTATATATATTTCTGTTTATTTTGGGGGTGAAATGTGGCATACCGTGCATGTTCTTCACAGGTTTGGTTTTGTGAGATTCACCCTGTTAGTCTCAACAAGGACAGATTGAAAACACTGTGTGGGCTTCACATGTGCGCTATAATTAGTGAAATTAATATCAGCATGATATCTTTAAAAACAAATAATATATTATGATTTTTCTGCACACCAGCCGACCGAGGCATCTGTGAGTGTTTTGTTATGAGCAGAGATCTTGAACTACAGAGCATGTATATGAATCTGATTTAGAAATATATGTCAGATTAATAATTAAAATAGATATTATGCATTTAATGTTCACAGTATACTCACATTGATTTGGCTGTAGATAGTGATTGTTTTGAAACTTGATTCACTAAAGTCCCAGTATGGTATTTTTCATGTGTTTCATTAAAAATATGTGCATTTTTATACTGATCCATATCAACGAAAATCCTTAAATATTCATATTTAAATCAGTAATTTTATTTTATTTTTTATTTACTTTTTAATTTAGCTAAAAAGGTGTGTAATATTATATATAAGCGTGTTTATATAATAATATATTTTAAATAGTTTTTTACTTTGTGCACACATAAACAATCCACTTAGATAAAACCATAAAATATGATTAAGTCAAATAGATGTTAACTCAAATAAAATGTAAAAAAGTAAATTTATTTTATCTCAGCTATCTGCCAAAACAACAATTCTTATTTTCATTTAGTTTAACTTGATGTACTAAAATGAATAAAAGCTATGTAGACATAAAAACTATAGATAATAAAAGTTACAAAAACACAGCAAAAATACTAAAGCTAATTAAAATGAAAATGGAAAATACAAAAATACTAATTACAATATATTTAAAAAACACTATAATAGCATCTCAATGATATTAAATAACAATGCCTCTTATTTATAAAAAAGGAACTTTAAACCATTTCAGAGCAAATACAAAAATATTTAGAAAAATAAGTAACGAGTCTCCAAAATATCAAAGTATATTTTTTTTTACATACTTGATGCTCATCTTTCTCAGAGTTGCAGAAAAAAAAAAAGTGATTTTGTGTCGTGTTCCACAATCACTGAATCGTGAAAAGCTGCAGAAACTGAAAAACACTCCTCAGCTACACTTTAGCATTGTAACAGTGAGTTTTGCATGGGCGAACGCTCATTTTTCTTCAGAAAATGTAAGTCTGCTTTATCACGCTGCAAGCCCATAAGCAGTGCTCATCATTTTGAAATGCCTTTGTCTGTCTGTCACATCGCATGGCAGCTCTCGACTCTGACGGCTTGCTTTCGGCAGCTGTTTGTTTTATTGTTTCTCTGGTTTGCCATTCAAACAGTTCGGCACTAAGAGAATAACCATTTTCTCTATGGTAAGACTCCAGTGCGCAGCACAGAGCTCTCAGACGTGCGCTAAAGTCAGACTGGGGCTGAGATATATGTGATGGAGTTCCCTAGCAAACCTCACAGACGTGGCCGTCTGCCAAAGACACAAATGGGCCTGTACAGAGAGAGATTTATTAAATGAGCCATCATATTTAGAGTGTGTGTGTGTGTTTAAATGTGCATTTGGTTTGGCTTGTATGGTTTGTGAAAGAAAAAACCTCCGTTGTTTTCAGGTCACATTTGGGGCGAGACACCTGTAAACAGTCACGCTGTTTTATTCCTATATCCAGCACCTCTTGAACACTCTTATAAAGCTTTCACTTGGTGTTTATGATGCTTCTCTGAATGAATTATTCATTTTAACAGGGTGCCGAGGGATACAGTGAGTCATCTGTACTCCACTAAGTCATCTAGAGATCTGCAATACTAAATATACTTCAAAATCAACTGGACTAAATGGCTTAGCTCTTAAAAGGACTATATATATGAAGACTTTAGAAACCTGTGTTATTAGCGACACCGGTGGCCGTCGAGTAAACTGCAGTCAGTATGGTTAAGTTATTTTTTGCTCTTCACTTAAAAGTAATATTTGAGACTAAAGACAAACTTTAGGTTGGCTTGAGAAAGTCTGACCTGAAAGTTTGAAGCTGTTGCCAAAGCTTGAAAGTTTAGAAAGATAGATTAGATAGATGTTGATAATCATGCCGCTACTGTAGCATGATGTAGCACATTGCTAGTATGTTTTTAACATGTTAGCATGATTAACATGTTTCTAGCATGTTTCTAACATGTTTGCCATGTTGCTAGCACATTGCAAACATATTTTAGCATGTTGTTAACATGATTTAACATGTTTTTAGCATGATTAGTATGTTTTAGCATGATTACCATGTTCCTAGCATGTTTTATCATGATTGGCATGTTGTTATCATGTTGCTAGCATATTTTTAGAATGATTAGCATGTTGGTAACATGATAAGCATGTTTTTAGCATGATTAGTATGTTGCTAGCATGGTTAGCATGTTAACATGTTGTTAACATTATTGACACATTGCTAACATGTTTACCATGTTGCTAGCACATTGCAAACATATTTTAACATGTTGTTAACACGATTTAACATTTTTTAAAAACATGATTAGCATTTTTTAGGATGATTAGTATGTTGCTATCATGTTGCTAGCATGTTTTTAGAATGATTAGCATGTTGGTAGCATGTTGGTAACGTGACAGGCATGTTGCTAGCATGATTGCCATGTATGTTTTAGCATTATTGACACATTGCTAGCATGGTTTAGCACATTACTAGTATGTTTTAACATGATTAGCATGTTGTTAACATGTTGTTAGCACGATTAGCGTGTTTCTAGCATGATTATCAAGTTGCTAGCACATTGCTAACATATTTTAGCATTTTGTTAACATGATTCACATGTTTTTACCATGATTCACATGTTTGCTAGCACATTGCTAACATATTGTAGCATGTTAACATGATTGAACATGTTTTAGCATGATTAGCATGTTGTAGAATGATTAACATGTTGCTAAAATGATTAGGCTGTTGATTTAACATGTTTTTAGCATGATTCACACGTTGCTAGCACATTGCTAACATATTGTAGCATGTTAACATGATTTAACATGATTAGCATGTTGTTAGCACTTTGCTAACATGCTGTAGCATGTTTTTAACATGTTTTAGCATGATTAGCATGTTGTAGAACGATTAACATGTTGCTAACATGATTAGCCTGTTGTTGGCATGTTTTCTGACAAAAATGTAGGTGCTTAGAGGTACGTTTATGTGCACGGAAATAATTAGAATCCAGCAGGATGCGTTTTTCTATAACTTGCATACTATTTAGGGCGGACAGTGTGCAAATTGTAACGGCAGCTCATATCAGCAGTGATCATGTAAGAACACGTGTACTGTAAATCACTCTGCAGGTGCTGTGGAGAAGAGCTCAAAACACGGAGCCGAGGACAAAACCCAAAACATCATCATGGCTATGAAGGAGCGGATGAAGATCAGGGAGAAGAACCGGCCCGAGGTGTTCGAGGTGATCCAGGAGATGTTTCAGCTCTCGAAGGAAGATTGCAACGCTCACCTGAAGACGGCCAAACAGGCTGTGCTGGAGGGAACGTCCAAGTGGTCTGCTAAAATCACCATCACAGGTGAGCAATGAGCGAATCTCACATCACCTAACAAGAACATCAACACATTTCACACAAAAACCAAAATGAGAAATAGCTTATTGATAATGTGTTAATGTAGGCTTATATGAAACTAGACTTATTTATATTTCTCAAATATTTTATATAAAATTATTATTGCTATAGAATTATAAGAACTATACGTAATTATCAGTTATAAATTATACAATTTTTACTGTGGTAAAATTACTATATGATATAATGATATTTAATGTAAAAAAATCTAATTTTATATAAAACATGTAAAATAAAAAAAAGAAATATTAAATTTTTAAACTTTTATTTTTGGGGATTAAATATGGGCAGAATATGTTTATTGTATTTTATATTAATTTGTATTCATTATATTCATTATTTGTATTTTATCGTGCTGTCAAACGATTAATCGCGATTAATCGCATCCAAAATAAAAGTTTTTGTTTACATAATATATATGTGTGTGTGTGATGTGTATATTTATTATGCATATACAAACACACACACATGCATGAATATATTTAAGAAAAATATGTTATGTTTATATATTAAATATGTTTATATATAATCTATATTTTATGAATATAAATATATACATCTAAATGCATGTAAATATTTTCAAAAAGACTGTATGTGTGTGTTTTTATATATACATAATAAATATACACAGTACACACACATATATTATGTAAACAAAACTTTAATTTTTTATGCGATTAATCGCGATTAATCGTTTGACAGTATTATATATTATATTTACATAATAATATATATCAAATGAGAAAAATATATTAAATATATTATTTTAACATTTTAACATTATTATTATTATAAAGAATAAATATATAATATATATTTTCTTTGAATTTCTCTTTTAATAATGTATTATTTATTATGATTATTGTAATAAGATATTATATAATTATACTTCATGTAACATTTTATACAGATTTTATATAAATTATTGATTGTATTTTATTTATTTATTTTCTTGGTTGGTGTTAAATATGGTTATATTCTGTAGTTGCTGTTTCACATTGTAAAATGAGAAAAAAATATGTGAAATATATCGTCTGAGGCATGTTCTTGAAGTTTCATTTTATATGAAAGTATTATTTTATTATATCTTTTCTTCAGAATATTATGTTTATTATTTTTTATTTTAATAATTTAAAATACTATATTATATTAATGTAACAGATTTGATATAAAATATTTTACAGTATTTATTTATTAGTTGTTGGTGTTATATCTAAGTTTCCTGAGATTCGCTCTTGTGTCTGTCTGTGCGTCTCTATGTCTGCGACTGGAAGAGACCCTACGGCGAGGAAAGCTGCTCAGTTTAATTTGGGAAATGTGCCGAGAGTTTTGCTTGTTTTCTGACAGCTCAAACCGAGTCATAAAGAACCGTTTCTGTCCATCTGCAGATGCACGTCCTCGCATTGCTTTGTTTCAGTCATGTTTGATCTTCCAGGTTTGCTCTGTGTGTCCGTATCAGTGATGCTCCTTCACCTGACTTTGAGGGTCAACAGAGACTGTGAATTATTGCCAAGCTTGCAACGCTGCCAGAGTGTCAACAGAACACAGAGAGAAAAACAGCTCTCTGCTTTAATTTATCCTGGCGTACGATCGAATCTCCCGTTTTGGAAAGTATTCATACAATGATTTATTTATCAAGGGCTTCATAAACACTGGCCTCTGTGAATTCTGATTTAGTTTGACTGACGCATTAACCAGGTGACCGTACACTGAAAAACATTTTCTTCTATTTCTGTCTTGTTTTTGCTATAAAATGTCTACATTCACATGGACTAACATCCATAAAAAATGTCATTGAGATGTAAAAATGCTTGTTTCAGAGAATCTTCTTGAATTACCTTTATTTGATCAAATTTACAAAACGAAACTTCTTTTCTTGAAATAAATGTATTTTTATTAACCGTTGGCAAATTGTTGTTTTTTTCCCCTTTCTTTTTTTTAAGTATAAATCAAACAACATGTCCTGTGGTGTATTAAGCCCGTTTTCACCACGGAATTTAAAAATATTGGTAATTGCGACTTTTAATCTCACAATTCAGACTTTTTTTTTGTAATTGGAAGTTCATATCTTGCAATTCTCACTTTATATCTTTAAAAAAGTCAGAACTGCAAGATATAAACTGCAATTCGTCGAGTTTTTATCTTGAAATTTTTACAGTTTTTCTCTGAGTTCTGTTTATGTCTTGCAGATCAGTTTTTTTTTTGCCACGCAAAAAAAAATCAATGTAATTGCAACTTTTATGCTCATAATTATGACATTTTTTTCCTCACAACCCTGAGTTCACATCTTGCAATTCAGACATTTTCCTCAGAATTGTGAGATAAAAAGTTTTTAATTGTAATATTTTTTATTCCAAATGCTTTATTTGGCAAAGGGATACGAACAATAAAATTAATATTTTAATTTCTCAAGTACATTTATAATTTTTTAAGGATGTTTGGATTTTTTTTTTTAAGAAACACAAACATACCCAATAGGAGATACAATTATTATTTTTTTTTTTGCAGTACAGACATAGATTGTTGTGCCATGAGCCAAAAAACAATCTGAGCGTCACTGTGAGACATACTGATGTGACACGAATGTGTGAACACAGCTCTGGAAACACACACAAACTCTCAGAGAGCCGTCCTTCTTTCATTCCAGCTAAACTATACCGACTATATTACCCTCTTCAACTGGCCCGGTGACATTGCACCAATCTCTGTCTGTCTCCAAGCCCAAGGATATATGTTCCCTGAATAATTTAGCACCCTGCTCGTTCATAATTAATGAGACGAGAGCTTCCTGTGAACTACTATTGGCTCTGTGACGAATGGCATCCCCATTGACTGAGTTCAGTGCCACTCAGGCTACACACTGCTTTTATGTTGTATTGTTGCACATTCGTCTGTTTTGAATTGACTCTTTAGTTATTAATGGTGCTGTACATACACACATACAGGGCCGTTTCTAGCCAATTTGACGCCCTAGGCGAAATCCCTATTG